CATTTTTTAATTTAGTTCTATAGAGATTATATAATTACCAGTTTTGTTTATATATAAATAATAGTAATAATAATAATAATAAAGTATACTCTAAAAAAATAATAAATAAAGTATAATTGATTCGGTTTTTGATTTGTTGGGATAAATTCATTTGGTTCGGTTTAATAATTGGCTTCAAATTAAGTGGACTAATTAAATGCTCACCCCTAATTAAGAAGGGTTTGGTTTGACTTGAAGAAATTTTTACAAGCTCAAATTTGTCATTTGTTGTATAAATATAAATCATTGATTAGAACAAATGAATTTCATAAAATTTTGAAGAATTAATTTTAAAATTTAAATTTTTGTATTTGTAATGAAAAAATATAGATTTTAATTCGATGAATTCAATTTTATAGATTTAGGCACTATTATACCAAATTCCATAAATATATATGAAATTTCCTAATGAATTTTATTGACAAATCTACCCTCTTCCTATTTTCCTATTATCTCTTTTCTCATTTTGCTATTTTCACTTTGGATCTCGCTCATTTCAAAAATCATCACCATGACTACAACCACAACCACAACCACCTCTATTTCTGATTGCCACCACCGTTAGATGCCCCTTTAAATTCCTCTTTAGCTCTCTCTTCCAACCCATATCTACCACCTCATGGCTGATCATAATAACAGAAAATGCATATAATTTCACATATATTTTTTATATAGTTTTCTGATTTAATGTATATGAACTTAATGCTTGTATATACATTAGTACTTATATTTGCATTATTTTAGACTAATTCGTATAATTGAAAAATTGACAAGTTAGTCAGATCTCCCATGTTAAACCTAGAAAAATAGACCTAAGAAAAAAAAAAAAAAAAAAACTAGATTTCTTTGAGGATCAAATGATTGACACTTGCTCGTTAGGTTTCAATCAACATAATACCATGAAAATATATATCATTTTGATTCTAACATATCAATTTAGTCCTGAGAAATGAATTTGGATATTTTCGATTAATCCTCTTTCAGGAATTGACATGTCCATTAAATCGACTATTCACGATTTGCATTAAGCCAATAGATATCCTATGCTTAGATTACCCTTTGCTTATTGATGACTTACATTTTTTACTTGCTAGCTTTTATTTATTAATTGTTTTATTTATAAATTTATTTATTATTCAATTAAGATATCATGAAATTCTAGATAATTGAAATTATAATAGTTTAGTAATCAACAGCCAATTGGAGATGATAACTTTTCTATACTACTTATACAACTCATACAGCTGCGAGCACGCATCAGTGGCCATTAGCTTACAAACTAAAAAAATTATCGTTAATTATGGACATTTACAGGCTCAACAGTTTTCCTATTATCAATTAACCTCAACTACTCATTTTTTTTATTGAATTAAATTTATTTATATTTTATTTTATTTTTTATCAAAAGCATTGAAATAATAGTGAATTTAAAAAAGGAGAAAAGTAATAAAAATATATTATTCTAACAATGGTTTTTTTTGTATATATTTTAAGTTTGATAATACATTGTTTCCTTTTTTTTTTTTTTTTTAAATTCTATTCTCTCTCTTTCACATTTTCATTTTATATCAAAAGATTAGATAGCCTAATGATGAATTTTCACAACACGGGCAAAGCATAAGAAACAAAACTAATCTCCCCATATTTCTAGACAAATTAGGTATCTCTTAATTATAGAATAACTATATCTTTACCGCTATTGAACTAACACTAAACATTGTTTACCTTCTTTTTTTTTCTCTTATATGCAATTCATTACCCTTTTCTTCACTTTTTTAGATTTCAGATATATATTTTTAAAGCCCAAATTTAATTTCCTATTTTATAAAATCAAGAAAAGAACTTCTACTTTTGCAACACGATCAACTGTGTCTCTATTATCTTTTTTAATTAAATACTGCATCTATATGGGATGGACCCCATCACTTTTTTTTTTTTTTTTGACAATTTTCTTTTTATATTTTTTGAATTTCGATTTATTTTTAAGCCACAATTTTTTTATTTTAATAAAAATCAGAAAAAGAAAAGTTTTATTTTGCAAGATAACTGATGTTTATTATTTTTTTATTAAATTATTATATGGATGGTATTTTAGAAAATAAAGATAAAATTATTTTCTTTTAAAAATTTATTCCAAAAATAATTTATAGAATTCAATTGAATTTCTTATTTTATATTATGGCATACTAAACAGGAGAATACATTTACAAATGAAATGAATTCTATTTAGAATTTATTAATTTATAAATAAATTCTACACTTATAATTCATCTGTTAAACATAATGTAAATGAATCCTAAAATTCTCAATCAAATTATATTATTGTGGTTGAGTTGGGCTTAGAATGTAGTACGGTCTTTTTATTGAGTCGAAGTCAAAGGGTTTAAACTAAAAATTCAATAAATACTTTCACTTAAAATCGAAAATAAGTTAAATCACTTATAAATTGCTCGTGGTTTAATTTAAAGAAGAAAAAAAAAAAATTCAAACTCATTTAATATTTTAGTGATTCAAATTCAAATCTTCTTAAACTCGTTTAACAAATAATTCAGTCTTGAACTTAAGTTTACATGTGTAAATAAGAGATTTAACAAATGTCATATATGAGATTTCAATTTACCCACGACGATAACAACCGATGATGCAACTGATGATAGACGACGGTGAAAACAGTGACGATAAATACAATATATATGGTGTGTATATATATATATACACATGATTTATATTTATATGTCATGTATCAATATTAATTCAAATAGAATTGAGAGATCTATCTTATTATTTTAGAGCATAAACAATATCCATAAGGGTGACAATTTTCCAACAAAAATTAATCCACTATATGCTTACCCAAAAAACAAAAGGAAATCGTAGAAGAACATTACAAAATCATAGAATCGCAATCAATACTAATGGATAAGAAACAATAAAAATAGAAACGAAGTATTAAAATAATAGAAATGAAATCTCTTTTCCGGTGAGGATTTTCACACCGATCCTACATGCGACGGCAATAGAGACAGAGTTCACGAAAAAGAAGAGAAAAAAAAAAAAAAAAAGGCAAATCAGATATTATGGGAACACTTAACATCAAGAAAAAGAAAACGTAGAAAGGAGAAAAACACTATAAGAAAACAGATGAAATATTAAATATGTGGCGTCCTAAACAAAGGCCTACAATAAATAAATATATATCATTAACTACAAAACCCACTTTACAAAACCAAATTTGCGAACAAAGGGGGTCCCAACTACCCATTTTTTTTTTAAAAAAATTTTTTAGGGTTTTCCAAAGGGGAGGGAATAATTTTTCTTTTTTATTTTTCTGGGGGGGGCATTATTTAGCCTATTATATCTGTCTTTTTAATCTATATTTCTAATAAATCGAGCTCGCGTACACCTTGTATTCAAGTTGACTTAACTCAACAAAGCTTTCTTTTTCTTTTTTTTTTTTTTTTTTTTTTTTTTTGAAGGGAAACTCGACAAGCATTGTAGTATTATTACTTCTTCATCAATACTTAAATATAATAATTAAACTATATAATAAATAATAATATATAGTAATAATAATAATAATATATCATTAATATTTAATAATAATAATATAATATAATACTATAATAATTATTAATAATAATAATAATAATAATTATTATTAGTATTTTACTTTTTAAATGCTCCACAATATTTAGAAGGGTGTATTGGAATAAGACTCTATTAGATTTTAAAAGATTTTAAATTTTCAATCGTATTCAATTTTAGATGTTTTTGGAGTCATTTTGTGGTATTCAATTGAAACTCTTATAAAATTCACAAAAATCTGATAATATTCTATTGTGGTTTTTTAGAAGTCTATACAAATTTGATGGTATTCAAAAAATTACTGATTTGGAATGATTTATAAAATATTGATTTCATTCTATTTTAGAGTACTACGTATGAATAAAAGAGTCATTCATAAATTCATCATTCAACTCAAAGATTTTATAAATCTAACAGAGTCTTAATCCAATACACTCCTTACTAAGGATGGAAGCAGTGCGGGTATCTGTGAATTTTAAAATAGGTATCCGTTTAAAATTTTACTAATCATATCTATTCTAAACTCGTTTAAATATCCATTTAAGTACTCATATTCGAATTTGTTTAAATTTTTACTACATATATCTATCCAAAACTCGTTTAAAATACCTCTTAAACGGATAGAGTATCCGTGAATCTTAAATTATTCAAATTCGAACTTATTTATAATACATTTTTTACTATTAATGGACAAAATACCCACAGGCACCCACTACTGAACCTATTTAATAAAATTTTAGAGGAGATGATACATTTTACTTTTTACTTGTTCATTATTTTTGATTTTTCAATTGAGCTCCAAAACCTTTTAACCTATTTAATTAGGTCCTGAAATTAATTTTTATTGGATATATAAAAAATCATTTGTAATTTCATCAAAGTCCAAATTTGTAAAAGAAGTATTGTCAATTCTAAAAAACTCTATGTAGAATTCTATAAAACTCTATGTAGAATTCTGGTGAAATCTATGAAAATCTCATCAAATCCTTTAATTCTATTAAACTCAACAATTCTTTTAAAATTTTACACGATCCTAATCTAGTACACCATAGTTTGAATAAACCATCAAATATACTCCCAACGATACTAATCTGATACACCCCTAGTTAATAAACCATCAAATATACTCCCAACTCTGCGTGTTGTAACAATTTCACCTTAAAAACAAACTTAAAATAATATACCCTAATTTTAATTTGGTCAAAATTAAACAATAAAATAATATTATTGTGGAACCCATAGTAACTACTTGGGTTGAATTAACCATGCCATGGGTTAAGTGAACCGGGAGTGTTTCACTTAAGGCTGGCTCCCTCTCTCTCCTTGATCTTTCCTTTCTTGACCACCATCCTCCATTACCTCACATTTCCAACAAAACAATCAGTAGCATAGAAGATCAAAGCACACAACAAACTCTAATTTCTAAATCAAACCGTAACACCGATGAACACAAAATGGCAAACAAAACCCATTACCTCAAACTGTACAAAGCAATTTACAAGAAAATCCCAAAAGGCACAAAGTTTATAGTTTCAATTCAAAGCCATAGCAATCCAATTGCATTGGCTTCCTCTTTCTACCTCATAAGACATAAAAATATAGAAGAGAGAGAGAGAGAGAGATTATTATCAAGATAACTAGCAATCAAAACAAAGAGCAAAAAAATCATTTGCGTCAGCCTACGAAAGTTGTAATCTTGATCTTCCATGTCCTTCATTTTCTCTTTTTGGCTTCTGAATATCATCAATTTCTCAACATTTCGAAAAAATTTTACAATTTTATTGCATTTTGAGCTGTTACTTGAACTGGGTAGAAGAAAATCCATCTGGTAACAAGAAAATTTAGAATGATAGTGCAACTGGGTTTCAAATTGCCAACCAAGTCCAAAACGGGCTAGACTCAGGAAAAACTCAGAGATTAGATATGAGATAGATGAAGGAGAGGGAGAGAGACAAGTATCGATGAGAATCAACTTAAGCCCAAACTTTGGAGGTTTAATCGATGAGAAGATGGGGATTTGAGCGGGTTAGGGTTTCTTTTTTTTTTCCCTCAATCCAATGCACCGTTTATCTTAACCGTCCCTGGTTATGTGAACTAAACAATAGACAGCAGGTCCCACATATAATATTATTATATTGTCTAATTTTGATCAAAATTGAATTGGGGTACAATTTTGATAAAAGAAACCAAAATAGTATGGCTGAGGAGTTAAGTTTGATTTTAGGGTGTAATTGTGATGACCGGGAAAGTTTGGGTATAAATGATGGTTTATCCCCTAGTTTAGTGTAATCCCTGGCCAATGGAAACCATTGGCCGAGCTAGCAAATATCACGTGGACTATTGTCGCCCTCATATCCTACACTCTGGGCCCCACTCTCCTTCTCCTCTTTTTCTCTCTGCACTTCGCTCTCCCTTCATCCCTGAGACACCATATGCGCCTTTACGGAACCACCAAAAGAACACCCAAACAGCCGACTCGAACTAAAACGTACAACAATTAGACTCACATATGGAAGAGGTCTCGACGGGGGCCATAGTTCCGGCAGTAAAATTCGAGCCAAAACCATCTTCTTCCTCCGCCGCCGCAGAAACTTCCGCGGAGCCTTCCTTTCAGGCGGCGGCGGCGGCGGCTACGGTGGAGGATGAAACGGGATTAGCGGAGCTCGATAAGGATTTTCTTTGCCCGATTTGTATGCAAATTATTAAAGATGCGTTTCTTACTGCTTGTGGTCACAGTTTTTGCTATATGTGTATTATCACTCATCTTCGTAACAAGAACGATTGCCCTTGCTGTGGTCATTATCTCACTAGCAATCAGCTCTTCCCTAATTTCCTGCTCCAGAAGGTCTGTCAGTTTGTTGTGCTTTTTTTTTTAAGTTGTAGATTTTTTTTTTTTTTTTTTTTTTAGTTGTAGATTTTTTTTTTTTTTTTTTTTTTTTTTTTTTTTTTTTTTGTGATTTTGATCATGGAAATTAGTAATGGAAATGTTAAAGAAATTGAAAAACTGATGGCAGCATAATTTGTATTTTGAAATGATTTACTTGGAAATGCAGCTCACTGTTATACGGTTTCTCTGTACCACATTTGTAGCTATTGAAGAAGGCTTCTGCTCGTCAAACATCAAAAAATGCGTCTCCTGTTGAGCGTTTTCGCCAAGCATTACAACAGGTCAGTTGTTTACTTGTCTTTGAATTTTAGATATTCTTCTTGTTTGCCAATGAATTACAGTCTTCATTGATTATTTTGATTGTTTTCAGCACGTAGTGGAGGGTGGCGGTGACTTTAGTTAATTATTTCTATAGAGTTTGTTATTAGAAATGTATCAATTAGGTCCTCAGATTGAATGGTTATAGATGACGCTTTTATGGTTGACTGCAGTGACATTGTTGCATAATAAATGCTTGCAAGAAAGCTGCGTGAAACTTATGAACAAATTTAGACAAAAATCATTATAAATTCATAATACTCATACTGATTAGTGCCTAAAGCTGTTTTTCCTTCTTTCAATATGGCATATTTTATATTTATTATTTAAATGAAGCAACAAACAAATAAGCTCTTGCTACTCATTATATTGATTTGTTTTAATCTGTTATACCTTTATCATGACACAATCTAGTGATAATTAGTCAGGGTTGCGAAATTTCAATTAAGGAGCTGGAGACCCTTATGTCACTTGCTATGCTATGTGTTAGATTGATTTTTTTTTATCTGTTATACCTTTATCGTGACACAATCTAGTGATAATTAGTCAGGGTTGCGAAATTTCAATTAAGGAGCTGGAGACCCTTATGTCACTTGCTATGCTATGTGTTAGATTGATTTTTTTTTATCTGTTATACCTTTATCGTGACACAATCTAGTGATAATTAGTCAGGGTTGCGAAATTTCAATTAAGGAGCTGGAGACCCTTATGTCACTTGCTATGCTATGTGTTAGATTGATTTTTTTTTATCTGTTATACCTTTATCGTGACACAATCTAGTGATAATTAGTCAGGGTTGCGAAATTTCAATTAAGGAGCTGGAGACCCTTATGTCACTTGCTATGCTATGTGTTAGATTGATTTTTTTTTATCTGTTATACCTTTATCGTGACACAATCTAGTGATAATTAGTCAGGGTTGCGAAATTTCAATTAAGGAGCTGGAGACCCTTATGTCACTTGCTATGCTATGTGTTAGATTGATTTTTTTTTATCTGTTATACCTTTATCGTGACACAATCTAGTGATAATTAGTCAGGGTTGCGAAATTTCAATTAAGGAGCTGGAGACCCTTATGTCACTTGCTATGCTATGTGTTAGATTGATTTTTTTTTATCTGTTATACCTTTATCGTGACACAATCTAGTGATAATTAGTCAGGGTTGCGAAATTTCAATTAAGGAGCTGGAGACCCTTATGTCACTTGCTATGCTATGTGTTAGATTGATTTTTTTTTATCTGTTATACCTTTATCGTGACACAATCTAGTGATAATTAGTCAGGGTCGAAAATAGATAAGAACAGTGGTGGTATGATAAGCAGTTCTTTTAATGCTAGAGGAGGGATGACTGCCGGGAATCTTCCGATGAAGAAAATGGATGGTAAGGCTCAAGGCTCTCATGGCCTTCAGAGAAAGGATACTTTAAGTGGGTCTGACTCACAATATAACCAGTCAGGGCTATCTGTTGTAAGGAAAAAGCGAATCCATGCACAGGTTAGTAATCTTACAAATTTTCATTTGCAGAGTGAGGTTCATAAATGTCAATCTGAGAGATTCAAGCTTTTAATTTACTTATCTAATGGATGGATAATGAGGGGGACAAAAACTAACACCTAAGGCCTTATTGATCGACTTCATTGGACATGAATACCAGCCGTGTACTTGCTCAATTTGATACTTTAATACCCAATCCTAACTATATTGGTTTATCATATGTATTTTTCTATTATTAGAGCAAATTTCAGGCTTTGTATTGATGAATCATTCTCAGTTTGTTGGATTAATTTTCATTTTCTTTCTCTTGTGGCAGTTTAATGATCTACAAGATTGTTACCTGCAAAAGCGTCGTCAGTTGGCAAACCAACCACATAATCAACAAGAAAGGGATAAAAATGTCATTCATAGAGAGGGCTACAGTGCCGGTCTGGCAGATTTTCAGTCCGTGTTGAGTACCTTCACACAGTACAGGTATAAATATCAGTATTGATTCCCTCTGAAATATTTTGAGAGTTTGTCTATCTTGTTTTGGTTTTCAATCAGTTGTGATTTATGTGAATTTTCCTTTGATGCTCTTTGAACAGTCGCTTAAGGGTCGTTGCTGAACTCAGGCATGGGGATCTATTCCACTCAGCCAATATAGTATCAAGGTACCTTAACTGTTTTTTTCACATGATAGAAGATTGTACTTTTTGAGTAAATCTTGGTGACATTTTCTTTATTTTATTGTGAAAATACTTGAAACCTTTTGCACTGTTTCAAATGCTAAACTATAGAAGAGCAAATATGATTAATAAATAATTTGCAAGAACTAAGAAGGTAAGACAACCTTTCTCGTAAAGGAAAGTAGCATTTAACCTCACTAGTGTTTTCATCTAATGCATTGGCAAGTAGGATAACATGCAAATCCATGCAAAAACTGAAGAAGCTTTGTTTTCTCTGTCAAGTTAATTAGTTCCATCCTTTTCTAACATCTTCTCTTTACATGTGGCTGGCCATATTATATAAACATATCGTGAAACAGTGCTAAAGACTGAAATTCCCTGGGAAATCCCGGCTTCAAGTTTGCTTTTGTTAATTTCATCCGGCTGTTTGGTCACTCAAATAGGTTGTGTCCCTGATGACTTGTATATTATGGAGATAGGGAGAAGATTTTAAACTGGCCCTTGTTTCTCTCTTTCTCTGAGATGAATGAAAGAACGAAAAATTAGAAAGTGTCACCTGCTTTTTTTTTTTTTAATGGAAAAATGAGCTTTACTGAGTAGACTAATTCTGCAGTTGCATCTGCTTAAACTCATTGATTGAAATTGCTGGGTTGCAGCATTGAATTTGACCGCGATGATGAACTGTTTGCTACTGCTGGAGTTTCAAGGCGAATCAAAGTGTTTGACTTTTCCACGGTTAGTTTTTGATTCTAGTTTCCTTTTTTATTTCCTCTTCCCATTGTGGCCATAATGGTTGATACACGAAATAGAAATTATGTTGAATAAATAATTTATGACCAGTTGTTGGATCATTATTTTTCTCAGTTTCTGTTGCAGTATTTGAATTTTAATTCCTCAGTGCATATATATATATATATATAGTTGGAAGAGTTACCAAACAGGAATTGGTCTCTTTCCTGCCAATCTCTTGAAAATCTTTGGTTTCTTTGATTCTGTGGAAGACTCTTCTATAATTTTAACTGGAGATTCTTATATCCATAACATATCGAGACAATGAGAATAGTATTTCCATTCAGTAAGTTCTTTTCTGCTCTGTGAAGATCAATTCATTTTACTGCAAATAGATATGGTGTCTGCATGTTGTCAGTGCAGTGAGAGGAGAATGTAACATGTAATCCCCCCATGGAACTTTTTGTGCAGAAATTAATATATTTTATTCATAATTGCTTCTGTTCTTTTCTTTGTTGGTTTCTTTTAATTTTGGCAAGACTATTGCTTGTCAGGTTCTGAATGACCCAGCAGATGTTCACTGCCCTGTTGTGGAAATGTCGGCACATTCTAAACTTAGCTGCTTGAGTTGGAACAAGTATGCAAAAAATCAGATAGCTAGTAGTGATTATGAGGGAGTGGTAAATGTTTGGGATGTGACAACTAGGCAGGTATTTTTTTTTTCTAATGTTATGTCAGTCTGTATGATGTTTATATGCATACACCTTTCAATAGTATATTCTCTTTGAGATTGTTATCACATTTTATGTTGCAATAAAATTCCCTGCAGAGTGTGATGGAATATGAAGAGCATGAAAAACGTGCATGGAGTGTTGATTTTTCTCGTACAGAACCCTCAATGCTTGTATCTGGTAGTGATGATTGCAAGGTAAAAACTCTTTTTTAACCCAAAGTAGGTATTGTTATTTGCTAAGGGATGCATAATGTATAATCTAATTGCATTTCAAGGGGACAAAGCAAAGAGATGGTTTTATATGCACATTATTTGTATCATTTAATGCTGAAATTCTCCTGTAGTTTTGGCCAGGTTGGGCTTGTTATGCGTGGACTTTAGGCTATTATAGTCGCATTGTTTACTGTACTATTACAAAAGCTGTTTCTTTGTAAATTGTATGCAAACTTTTGCTTAGTTTTTTTGACTATGCAAATGTCTAGGCAAGCATGGCAGTGGATTTGAAAGCACTTTCCTTGCTTGGTTGCATATATATTAGTGCAGCCCTTGCTTCTTCCATGTGAAAATATCAAGTTTCAGTTTTTTCTTTTTTCATTTAGGAAGAGAAATTTCTTTTGTGTAAAAGCTTTGGCGGGTTTTTAGTTATTATGGAAAATCCACTCATTCAAGTTTGCAACTCTGGTGTCATCATCAGCATTGAGCATTTAGGGATCTGTATTGACGTTGTTTTTGAATTCATCAAATGGTTTTGGTACGCTGTTGACTGCATAAAAGAAGTAATTATACTTTGTGCATAGTTCAAGATAAATAAGCAAAGCCATTATAATAGTGGAAACTCGTGCTTTATGAAAGTGATTTTATGAGGGAAAAGCTCTTGTGTTAAGAAGAATGCATTGATGGGATGAACAAAACCTGAAGTGAAATAGTAAATATTTTGTTAGTTCATGTTTCTTCACAGCATGAGGACTTACCCATTTTCAACTATGTATGCATCTCTGCTCTGTGAAACAATCAGGTCAAAGTTTGGTGCACAAATCAGGAAGCTAGTGTTCTCAATATTGACATGACAGCGAATATTTGTTGTGTCAAGTACAATCCTGGATCTAGCAATTACATTGCGGTAAGGCTCTATCAGTGATATATGTGGAGATTAACGAATGTTAGTAGTTTGTATTGTGGTTCATGTGGTGCTAGTTTAGTCCCTTGCCTAGTATTGCTGACAAAACACATTGCATGATCTACTGTGCCTAAGAATTCATAACTTTGATCTGCTGTTCTAAATGCATGTCAAGTGTATATACTTTATATCTGCTATTTTACATCTGCTTTTAGTTTGTTGGGTTTGAGAATGCATATCTTGGATTTTCCCTGGACCTTACTACAAGTGCTAAAGGAGTGAGATGGATTGGCATTGGCACAAAAAAAGTGTATGCTGGATGTCACAAGGTTGATTTGATCAGCTAGCTTTATATAATGCAGATTTGATTAGGCTAGGCTTTTCTGTTGTCATTATTAAATTAAACCAAGAATCAGTCTCACCAATGGCATGGACAAGCCTTACGAGTTATGATGCAGATGTGGTCTTACAGTAGAAATTCTTGTGCTTTTATGCAGGTTGGTTCGGCAGATCACCACATTCACTACTATGACTTAAGAAACATCAGCCATCCACTCCATGTGTTCAGTGGGCACCGCAAAGCTGTTTCATATGTGAAATTCTTGTCTAACAATGAGCTTGCTTCAGCTTCTACAGACAGCACATTACGGTTATGGGATGTGAAGGAGAATGTGCCAGTAAGTGATATGTTTGTGCCTTTCTAACTATAACATATATAAATGTGGTTGGAGGGGGAGGGGGATAATAAGATTTCTTAATTTATCCTTAGTGACATTAAAGATATCCTAAAATATCTTTGGTTATTACCAATTAAAAAAAAAGAATTGAATTGAAAATGATAAGTGATAGCCAATGAACATATTTTAATTAAAACATATATAATATTTTAATTAAAAAATATAATATTATAAAAATTTTAGAGATTGGTTAAGATTTTATTAAAAATCCTAAACCATATATATATATATATATATAGGTAATCAATGTGATTTAGAAAAAAAAAACATCTTCTTTTGGGGTATATATCAATAATGCTATACGACTCTTAAATTTAGTTGAGTTAATAATAATAATAATAATAATAATAATTGATACTATAATATAAAATCTATATGTATACAATATATAAATGTGGGAATGAGGGCGGAATAATGAGATTTCCTTCAATGAAATTTGAGATGCGCTAAAATATTCTTAGGCATGACCGATTAAAGAATTTTAATTTTAAAAGAATGCATAATAGTTGATTGTAATATTTGATTAAAAGATTTAATTGGGAGAAAGATAAGGAAAAGGAAAAAAAATTTAAAAAATTAAATTTAAAAATATATAAATTATTTATTGTTAATATTTGGAATTAAAAGATTTAATGGGAGAAAGATAACGGGAAAAGGAAAAAAAATTTAAAAAATTAAATTTTAAAAAAATATATTAAATTATTTTAATTTGTAATTTAAAAGATTTTTTTATTTAATTGTAATTTAAAAGATTTTTAAATCTCCAATTAAAAAATTTTAAACTAATATATATATATATATATACATACTACTTGATAATAATAAATGATGTTATTAGGAGAGTGTTAAGAAAATGGAAAATATTAAAAATATATGATATTTTCCTAGAGTTAAGATTTTAACTGCCAGTAAAATAATTTTAGTTTTAAAAAAATGCATATAATATTTATTTATAATTTAAATATTTTAAATAGAAGAGAGATAAGAAAATGAAAAAATTTTAAAAATTATATTTGATTGTGATTTGAAAGATTTTAAATGGTCAATTAAAGATATGAATTTATATATCTATTAAACAATATTTAATATTTGATTTTAGTATTTGATAGTAATTTAAAGATGTTTAATTGGGAGAGAGATAAGGAAAATAAAAATATTTTTGAAAATTTAAAATTTAAAAAATATATATAATATGTGATTGTAATTTAAAAGATTTTAAATGGTCAATTAAAAATTTTAATTTTATTATTAAAGTTATATATATTTGATATTTAATTGAATATTTGATTATAATTTAAAGATTTTGATTAGAAAAGAAATAAGGAAAATGAAAAATATATATAATATATATATATTTTAATTTAAATATAAGTTAATATTTGATTGTAATATATATATATATATATATATATATATATATATATATATATATATTTATAGTAATATTAATTTCTATATTTATGTTTATTTTGATTATATGATGCTCTCAAACTTCCACTTAGCAATCTCCATAGTAATATTAATTTCTATATTTATGTTTATTTTGATTTATATGATGCTCTCAAACTTCCACTTAGCAATCTCCTTTCTAAATATTCTATTCTTTTTACAAATTTGGAAATTAATTACTTTATGTTTTAGAAAATTTTGATGAAATGATTCATTTATCCATTATAAAATCATTAATTGATTAATATATATTTTACAAATATTGATATTTGTTAGATTATTAAAAAATATATTTCGTATTATGTTCATTATCTTTTTCCTTTTAAAGATAATTTTTTTGCTTTTTTTATTTTTTTAAGGGGTACAAGGTGAATTTATTATTGATTCTTAATTGCATATTTGAATTTTTTAGTGGAAATTTTTATACTTGTATGTATAAATTGTGAAAAGAATAAATGGCTATTTATAAATTGAATTAAAGTGTGTATATACCATAATCTTGATTAATTAGCTGTAAATTTTATGTTAATCTCAATGTAAAGTCATGTTTTAATATTATAAAAATCTAAGAAAATTATAAAATGAGTATAAATAATGAGTAATGATAATATGCGGCGCAAGTTATAAAAAGACTAGTATATAGTAAATTCTTCAATGATAGATGCTATGTGATAACCCAAAAGATTGACATTATACATTCTTGAACTTTCCATAACTGAACAGTATTGAAGTAACTGAAATTTTGGAATTATGATGGTTAGTGCTTAGGACTTCATAGACAAGAAAATGCAATGCAGTAGCTCTGATAGCATGGTTGTTTAAAGTGTTGGTTTTTGTTTTTTTGGCGGGAACTGATTAGAATTTGAGTTACTCAGGGGTTATTTTACTGCTTTCCCAGCAGGTTGACTTTTAAGAACTCAGATATTGACTATTTTTGAAATTATTTTGGCTGTTATTTTTTGTTTTTAATCATATTAGTTCTGTTTTTTGGCCATTTTCAAAAAAAAAAAATTAAAACAGTTACTTTTTATTTTCTGGTTCAACCCTAGACTTTTGAGTTTAATGCAGGCAAGTTTTTTCCTATGTTTTCAGATTGTTTAGGTAGAGTTTGTGGGTTTGGTCTTGAATTGCCACCTTTAGTATGATAAATCTAGAAGATGTTGACATGCTTTTTACGTAATGCTGACAGGTTCGAACCTTCAGAGGCCACACAAATGAGAAAAATTTTGTAGGGCTCTCGGTAAACCATGAGTACATTGCATGTGGCAGTGAAACAAATGAAGTTTTTGTATATCATAAGGTTAGTAATGCTTGAAACATCACTTGATCATTCTTCTTGTCCTCTATGCATAAGTTCAATTAATGAAGTTTGAAAATTTACCTGCAGGAAATATCCAAACCTGTTACGTGGCACAGATTTGGTTCACCAGAAATGGATGACACCGATGAGGATGCAGCTTCTTATTTCATTAGTGCCGTCTGTTGGAAGAGTAACAGTCCTACAATGCTAACTGCAAATAGTCAGGGTACAATTAAAGTACTAGTTCTTGCAGCTTAATAATTACAAAAGATTTAAAAAATTGAAATTATACCTTGGTTTTGTATTGTTTTTTGGGTGATTAGTATATAATCTTTGTGCATAACATATCATTGGAGCATGAATTGGGGGGAAGGAGGGGGGTCCAGATGTGGTTCTGCAAGTCTTGTTCTTTTTGTTGTTTTTGGCAGATAAGTGTACAAGCTTTTACACTAGAGTGTAGTGTCTATAGGCTATTAATGCATGTTAGATTCTGTAGCTGAATTAATTTTAGTAAAGCTCTACTCTCTATTCAATAACTGAATTTTCTCTTGTGAATGTTTCCTCTGCTTTGTATTTTTGGATTTATATGTTTCATTCTTGAAGTTGGTTGTTGGTGAATGTTGGCCTTGGTGATGCTGGCAGAACAGCAAGGTTGCTCCTTTTTGACCAATAGGTTACAAATTCGAGTTCTGGAAATAACCTTCCTTTTTTTTTTTTTTTTTTTTTCCTTTTTTGACCAATAGGTTTACAAATTCGAGTTTCTGGAAATAACCTCCTTTTTTTTTTTTTTTTTTTTTGTCGTCGTCCCTAAAGACTGGGCAGGCGGAAGCAATATTTGTTTCCTTTAATGCTTAAAAAGTGTTATTTATATTGTTTTTTTTTTTTTTTTTTGTCGTCGTCCCTAAAGAACTGCAGGCGGAAGCAATATTTGTTTCCTTTTATGCTTAAAAGTTTATTTATATAAACGAATTATGTTTGATGCAACATTCATCTCTTGAAACAAGTTTGTCTATATTGTTGTCATTATTATTTTTATAGACTTTATTTTAATTGATAATTTATTACCATTTATGATTGGGTTTCTATTTTGGCCAAAGTTGAAAGCTCAACTTGTTGAAGAAATTGGTCGGTATCTTGTGAAGGATAAGAATTTGGTATTGAGAACTTACTGGCACGCTTTAATACGATAGGATTGTCCATGGGGCGTGGGAAATTTTTCTTTTCTTTTTTTTGCTCCATTTGTTTCTGTATTTGTTTCCGTAAATAATTTGCGAAAAAAATATTTTTCATAATTTTTTGCTGTTTGGAGTATTCAGAAAAATAAGTTAACGGAAAATATTTTCATGGTCAAAGAAAAATTAATTTATTTTTTAAGAAAATAACTTTTTATTTTTAAGAGTAAAATATTTTTCGGACATTTGTAAATTTTATAAATTCATATTTGTTTTAATTTAATTATCATTATAGTCAATAACAGTAATCACCGATTACCACTGCCACTATCACCGGCAACCGATATCTATCACCGTGGGCCACCACTGATTTTTACAATTTATATATATTTCTTTTCATTCTTTTCATATTTAATAATAAAATTTAAAAATTTTTATTATTATTAATATTTTTTTTGGTCTTACGAAATAAAAGCTTTAATATTTTTAACTAATTTTTAATATTACAATCAAATAAGAAAAATAAATCATTTGAAAAATATTATTCAAGAAAAATATTTTTCAGCAACTTATTTTATGGGAACAACTGTTCATTATAGTACACTAATTTTTTTAAACATGCCTTGCATGTTTTTATTGCTCATTAATTGTCATTTATTTTTTTAACACAATATTAAGTACTTGTATTTTTTTTTTTCTTATATTGCGTACATATTTTTTTTATGTTAGAGCACGATTTTTCATTTTGAGATTTAAGTAAATAAATGGTTAGTTTATATTAATAAATACAATGGTTACTTGTATTTTGTAATCCATCTTGGAAAATGTAATCCGAATTGAAAAGAAAATTGGTGTTTGCTCTTCCTTTTAAAGTAACACTTTGAACATGTGATTTGTATTTATGTATATACTCATGATTTATTTTTATATATATAATTTTCTATTAATTTTGTTATCAGTGATATAATATTAAATTTAGTTGCATGTTTACACTTTATTTTCTATAGTTATTTAATTATAAAACATCTTTTCTAATTTCCTAAAAAGATATAAAAATATTTTACTCTTAAAATTTATGTAATTTTCAATTAAGTTTGATGTATCACCCCATATGTAAATTTAACTTGAAAGGATAAATGATAATTTTGAAATAAAATTAAATGAGTCAAACTTTATTATTAATACAAAACAATGAAATTGATAAAATTTTCCCTTTGAGGTGGAGTCACTCTCTCTTTGAAAATGATAAAATTGAATTCATTACGATAAAATTAATCCATTTTACGCATTATAACCTTTTTTTTTTCTCAATCAAACAAAATAATTTGTAAAATAATTCATTACGATAAAATTGAAAATGATAAAATGATTATCTCTACTTATAATTATGGGTGTGCAAATCAACTCATCAAACCAAATTGACCCATTTCGGCTTGTCTTGATCATCGTTCTGAAGAGAAGTTTGGTTGGTCGATTTGCTCGAATGAAATCAAATCGATTAAGCAAAAACCGATCAAAACAGTCCAAACCGACTGATTTGGTTCGGTTTAGATGCCATCTTTGGTTCGATTCAATTTCACAACTAAAAAGTCTGATTTTATATTTTTCCATCCCGATTCATTTGAATTGAACCGAATCAACCGTTTGCTTACTGTACTTGTAATGGCAATTTATATTCAAATTGAATCAAATCATAAAAGATAATTAAACTTAAGAGATGTGCATTAAATGGTGCAAACCGTAAAATCAAACTAAACAGCGTCAAAATGCCAATTTTTTAAAATGATTTGGTTTGATTTAAAATTTAGGAAACTATTTGCAAATCCATTTGGTTTGACTTTTACTTAATGATATCGTTTAAAATCGAAGCAAACCATTTATTTGAAAAAAGTTGCCAAAAATTTGCAACAATCTATAATTTCTTAACTAGGAAGATGTGATGTTTTCTTCTAATAAATTTTTTATTAGATTATGGATATTGAATATTTTACAATCTATACTTAGGCAGTGCAACAATTAAAATTTTCTTCTATTAGTTTTAATAATATTTTTAGTTCGATTCCATTTATTTTTTACAGGTTTTACTCAAAATTATAAATAAAATCATTGATTTGATTTTTCAGATTTTACAAACCGAATTAAACTGTTAAATTTTTACCAAAGCACCATTCTAATTAGACCTTTTAAACAATTTTTACCAGTTTATAGACTCGTGCATACAAGTTGGCCCAACACAAATTATTTTTTATTTCATTAAAATTTGAACTTGAGATTTAACATATCTGGAGACATGTCAAACTCTGAATTTCATTTCTCTTTCTCAAAAAAAAAAAAAAAAAAAAAAAAAAAACTGAATTTTCATTTCTCTTCTCAAAAAAAAAAAAAAAAAAAAAAGAAGTTGATTTGATTGGTCATAGAGTTAATATTTTTTTTTTTTGCTCTATCAACATACTTAATACAATTACTAATATACTTGATATATTCTATTACTTTCATTATTTTTTATTTTCCCTATAAACACAAATAAAAAAAAAAAAAAAAAAAAAAAAAAAAGAAGTTGATTGATTGGTCATAGAGTTAATATTTTTTTTTGCTCTATCACATACTTAATACATTACTAATATACTTGATATATTCTATTACTTCATTATTTTTATTCCCTATAAACAAATTTTATCTTATGATTCTTGTCCACCATGCAGCAACCGCATTACAAGTCACCAAAAACAAATTGAATATTTGTAATAAAAATATTATGAAGTGATTTCATTTCCTGTAACTGATCCATAAGAATTTTTCTATACTACTTATTATCATCCAAATATCAAACTAGAGTTAGCATAGGATTTTAAGGTTGGAAACCATTGGAATTTGAACTCCTGTTCTAAGTAAAAATGTCCCAGTCCAAGGCATTTCTACTCCTTTTAACAAGGGTAAAATGGCAAACAAAACCCTAAAAATGCAGTGTCTTTTAGTAAGCCTTTATCTTCAGCCTTTACATACAAAAAATGAGTATATGAAAAAAAAAAAAAAAAAGGAAATTATAACTCTGCATGTTCAAGTTCATGTTCATGTTCAGTACTGTACGGTGAAAATAAGAACACTGAGAAAAATTCTAATACATGATAAACGCACAAAGTCTATCTATTTTACACTCCGAAGTGCTGGAAAACAAAAGCAAAAAAGTGGAAAACAACGTTTGACATAAACTACCATAACTAAAATTTAAACTAAACCTGTTGTTTCGAAATCAGCTCAGGAGGAATAGAGCAAAGAAAAGAACTTCCACAATTCGAGATATTAATTTCAATGTTAAAGCTTCTTGAAGGATGAAAGAAACATCCTTGACCATAACAAATACTTCCTCGGACTTGCAAGGTCAAGAAAACTCAAGCCGTTTTTGTGGAGTTCAAAAAGAGAGAAAAAAGATATAAGAAGGATAAGCTCAGGAGAGATATCGCCATAGTCTCTACAGCAATATAATACTTAGGTTTATTATTCTAGTATAGAAAAGAAGAAGATCCACCATGGCTACATAGGAGCAGAGAAATAAGAGCAGAGAAGAGAAGGACCAATTAAGGGTTGGAGAAATTGGTTCCTGAGGTTTGACCTTTTGATTGAACATGGCCATGAAAGATGAGGAATGTTGTGTGATGGCTCTTATTTATAGCTCCATATATATCTCCAACATGTGGTCTCAAAAGCAAAGGGTACAATTGAGTGTTTACAGATAGGATTGATGTGTCATTTTCTATAGCAAAACCATTTATTTCCAGGCTGGGCATTTTTTTTAATTAATTTTTATTTAATGTTTGTAGACAGAAATTCTAAAATTACTAAGATTATTAGCTTCAGCCACTCAAGAATAAATTCATTTTACTGAAAATTTAATTCTCGGTTTTTGACCGAATTCAAATAATTATTTTATAAATTCGATTATCGATCGGTTTAAATAGATAAAATTATTTAATTTTTAAAATTTTTAAATATAACTAATCAAATTTATTTTAAGTTAAAAATAGTTAATTCGATTAATCGAAAACTTGATATTGAAAGCATAGCAGCTGTTTGTGTTTCTGTTTTGCTATATTAATTATAGCCTGTCAGTGGTCCCTGGGGAGGCTCCAGAGTCATATATAGTGATTTTCATGTTATGATGCTTTTCCATCAGCCTAATAACTCACTCGCCAGTCCTTATTTTATTGCATTATAGCATGTCAGGATTTATATACTGACAATCCCCTTTGACCTATAAAATAAAAAATAATAACAAATAACAATATGTTGTTGTAATTATTCTTTCACACTCATCTTCATGCTTGGGATAAAAATGATGTTGAAATGAAATCGCCTCACAAGTAAAATTAGTCTGATGATACAATT